CCGCCCATGCCCAGAGCCCCCCCAAATGAGCCAGGCAAATGAGACGCCCCTCCCACCCACGAGTCCAGGAATGAGAGGCCTGCGCCTGCCCGGGACACTGGCAGGGAGAGGTGGGTGCCGCAGATGCAATCAGCAGCCCCTGAGCAGCCCCTACCCCACAGGGAAGGGAAGTTGGGGACACGGCCCAGCCACTTACTTCCTACTCCCCGTCCTGCCCGTCCCCTCCTCTCCCCTCTCCAGCAGCTGCAGCCGACCCAGCGTCCTGCCCTGAGCAACCCCTAGTCCCCCTTCTGCCACCCTGACAGCCCAGGGAAGGTGACGACACCAGGTCTGGCCTTGTCTTTCCCCAGGCAGGGGACAGTGTTCCTTCCACAGTCCAGGGGTTTTCCAAAGCCAGATTTGGGAGCCATTGCTAAGCCTGGCTCCACCTGCTCCCCTGGCCCTCAAGGCCTGGCTCCAGGGAAAAGCTGACCAGTGTCAGCCTAACATCGGCTCTCCCAGGCCCCCGAGCCCCCTTGCTGGATGTCCAGCCGCTTTTCTGAAGGAGGATGAGAGCTGGACAGGCACTCCAGGATGCAGGAAGGAAGGCGAGCTGGGAGGGAGGAGAGCCGGATCTCTCGGGCTCAGCACTCGGTTCCAGTCCCCCTCAGGAGTGCTCGCAGCCACCCAGGAGGAGACAGGTCTCCCCGCATGAGGGATGCCTGCTGTCCCCGGGGTAGTCAGCGTGGTCATGGTCAGGGATCCTGAAAGCTGGACACCCCCGCAGCTAGGAAGGTGCCAGACTACATCAGAGCCACACATCCACCTCCTCCATAGGACGGTTCCCTAAGAGGTTTTTGACTAGGGCCAGTCCTACCCTTCATGCCTCCCACTGACTGACTGCCTTTGGTATTCTGTGATTTCCTTCTTCTTTTTTTTTTTCTGTTGTTCTTTTGTTGTTGTTGTTTTGGGATTTTTTCTTTTTTTTAATTAATTTATTTATTTTGGTTTTGAGCTGGCAGTGCTCAGGGCTGTGTACTGGCTCTGCACTCAGGGATCACTAGGTGGTGCTGGGAATTGAACCCAGGTCAGCCACGTGCAAAGCAAGCACCTTCCCTGCTGGGCTATGACTCCCACCCCTTTGGGGGATATTAGGGGTGGGGGCTATCCTCCTGTTCTCCTGTGGAGCCCTAGCCCCTACCTGGCCAAGCACACGGGGAACAGGTGAGCTGCCTCCTGTCACCTCCCAGCCTCCACATCCTCAGAGTCAGGCGGATGAGGCTGGAGATGACTGTCTACCTAGTGAATGGGCTTTCCTGGGGCTCCACCCAAAGGGCTGGCTGCTCTCATTAGCCCCACACCCCACCTCCCTCCTGGGGGGCCTGGATCCCAGCCCCCTCCACCAAGGCCCTCCGCCTGCCTTCCTCCCCCCAACCCCCAGACCCAGCACCCAGGTATGCAAGAAGATGGCCTGAGAGTGGGGGAGGCCCATGCAGGTACCTCACCTGGAACCAGCCCTCCCCCCACATCCTCACTGTCTCCAGGGCCTGACTCATCATTGAGCAATCGAGAGGCCCCCACCCCCACCCCGCCCACCTCAGCCCAGCCTGCTGACATCCCCAAAAGCCCAAATTGCCCTGACACCATGCCCTTGGGTCCCAGCCACGCGGCCCCGCCCTCCCGCCCCCGGTTCAGCCAGCCGCACCCCGCCCGAGTCTCCCAGCCACCCCCACCCCCTCTCCTCCACTCCCGGGGCTCCATCACCACTGCCACCGCACCCTCAAAGCTCCACCTCTCCCTCCCGTTCCCACATCCGATTCAAGTCGGACACGTTTCCAGAGTTGGGAGAAGCCTGTGTGTCCTTCCCCGACGCGCCTCAGCCCTGCAGTGCCCCCATCACCCCCTCCGAAAAGGCCTTCATTTATTCCTTCCTCATTCATTCACTCTCGCAGGGCAGGGCTGGTGGAGGGGACACTGAAATGAGCCTCTCCAGCCACCAGTCCCATTCTCTGCTCTTCCCACTTTCACCCAGGGGCCCCAGCCCCGCCCTCACTCCCTCACTCCCAGTCCCCTCACTCCCACACGCATCTCAAAGGCAGGGCTTCTGCCCTTCCTCCCCGACTCTTCCCCCACCACCCCCTCACCAGGCACCCTGGCCTTGGTGACCCCCTCTCACTGCTTCATCATCACTAAATAGAACTGGGGCACTGCCCCTCATTTGGGCAAGAGAAATAGGAGTTGGATATGAGGTGGACACAGAACACACACAGTTCACACACACACACACACACACACACACAGAGGATTCACACAGGGACACACATACACTCATACACAGAGACACATAGACACACACCATTGGACACACACAGGGTTCACACATGGACATACATACACTCATAGACACACGCCAATGGTGTCTCTCTCTCTCTCTCTCTCTCTCTCTCTCTCTCTCTCTCTCCTCTCTCTCTCTCTGCAGCCCCTGGCCTCCCCAGCCCCCCTGAACTCTCCCTCATGGCTGCAGCAGTTCAAATGCCCTCCTGGCCCCTGCCCTCACCCAGGGAGCCTGGGGCCTGCAGGTGGCCAAGCAAAGCAAGTAGTCAAGCCAGAACCTGCCTGCGCCCCGAGGTGGGGGAGCAGCTGTGGGGTTCCGGGCCTCTCCCAGGTCCCTCCTCAGAAGCGGCTCCCAGAGCACAGGGACCTCCCCAAACTCATCTGCCTACACCCTCATGGGCACCTTGAGGTGCAAGAACGCACCTAGACCTGTCTCCCTTTCTCAGATTCTCCACCGAGGGCCTCCTGCCCCTCCTGACACATGCCTTGGCTCCACGTCGCCCCCCACCCCCACTTCACAACCTGCGTTTGCCCTTCTGTGGGGCACTCTGAACAGCTGCGGGGAGCAGGCCGCGCTCCCAAACACTCCACCCCGTGGCCCCGGCCCGGGAGCAGAGCCTGGACAGCTGGGGGCTGGGGGGGGGGGAAGAGGGGGGGCAGGAGGTGGGTCTGGACCCCCCTCCACTGTGCTGCGTGTCTCCCGTCCCCCAGAACTCTCCACTCCAGAGCAGCCCATGGGGAAAGTTGCAGAGAAGCAGCCCCTTCCCGCCCGGCCCCCAGGTGGCCCCCACAGCTCCTGTGGCTTCCTGGCCCTCGAGGGCCCAGGGGGCAGCGGAGACCTCGGGAGGGGGCTGGGTGCTCACCTGGCCTGGCCTGCGCCGTCCTCTCCGCGGGGCTGTGTGGCCTGGCTCCGCTCCGGCTGCTCCCGCTCAGCCCTGCCAGGACTCCTCCCCGCTGCACTCCCAGAATCTGTCCCACTCCCTCCTGGCCCGGAGCTGCTGGGGGGCGGGCTGGGGGGTGTGCCCGGGCCCTGGGGTTGTGCCCTGGTTAAAGGCACACACACCTTTCCTACCCCCACCCGGAGGGCGTGGTGGAAGCAGCCCGGGGCCCCAACCCCACCCTCCCGGCCAAGCCCATGGGCTGGAATCTGGAAGGAAAGACCGTCACCTGCCCTCCCACCGCCCGGGTCAGGCCCCAAGAGAGGCCAGTGCGCTGGGACCCCAGACACTTCCTGGCAGTAGGGGTCTCTGAAGTGGCCCCTCAGGCCCTGGGGAGCAGTAGCCCCCAGAAGAGGCAGCCCCCTCCCCCTTGGAGCCCTGTGCCCACCGGACCTTCTTTTATTTTTTATTTTTTTAGTTGAGTCCCGTCCTAGGACCATTTACTACAGTGGAAATTGCTCCAGAAGTGCCCCTCCACCCCTTCCCCAAGACCCCCATGGAGATGGGGGCTGGAGCAATAGCACAGATAGCACAGCAGGTAGGGCTTTTGCCTTGCACGCAGCCAACCCAGGTTCGATTCCCAGCATCCCATATGATCCCCTGGGCACCACCAGGAGTAATTCCTGAGGGTAGAGCCAGGAGTAACCCATGTGCATCACCGGGTGTGACCCAAAAAGAAAAAAAAAAAGACCCCCATGGAGGCAGCAGGGGGAACAGGGGACTCTCACCCAGCTCTCAGGGCACCTGGCTAAGCTCTTTACCAGCTCCCTAAGCCCCTCCTCTGTCCTCTGAAGAATTCCTTTTACTATCCCATTTTACAGATGCAGACACTAACGCTGAAGCTTGGAATCCGCCGATCACCCTATTTCTCCATCACCTTTCCAGACATCAGTGAGCAGGCTCCAGCCCTGCTTGGTACTCTGCCCCCCACCATACACACCCACTTCCTTCCCCAGCTCAGCCTGACCCTCTCCCCAGCCCACGACTCCCACCTTCGTGGTGTCCTGGTACCCCCTCTACACAAACCCATGGGGCAAAAAGGTCTTTGTTCACCTCGTGACAAGTACTGAGCCCCAAAAGTCCCCGACCACTGACTCTTCAAATTCCCCCAACTCCTCACCCAGAGATCCAAGGTTGGGAGCACTGCCCAATGGAGACAACTTCCAGGCAGTGAAGGAAAAGGGCAGGTGTGAGGCTCTGCAGGGCCATTGAGGCACAGCATGGACCCCAGGAAGGCGGCAGGAATGACAACCCCCCTAATGCACCAGGAGTACCACCCACCCCCAGGTGTGGCCCCCAAACCAAACAAGAGATCCTCTTTCACTTTTCCATTGTTTTATTAATCAAATGATACAAAACAACCATCATTCTGTTGTGTAGATTCCTGGGCGGGCTCCCAGCCTCCCCCAAAGCCTGGTCCCACCCCCCACACCTGCCCAGACCAGCCCAGGGTGGAGATAACAACATGAGGCTGGTGAAGGGGGCAGGAAGACAGAGACCCCAGGTTGGCCAGGCGAAGAGATGCAGAGGCAGGTCTCAATCACCCCTTTTAGCACCAAATATCCAGCCCTGCGCCCCAGCCCCTTCTCCAGTCATTTCCCACAGCTCCTCTCTGTCTGCAACCCCACCCCTCCCCCCAGCCTTATCCCTCCACTTTCCACCAGGCCCCACCAGCCCACCCTGCCCTGGGAGTGAGGCAGTGTGGGGGAGCCGGGCAGGAGAGCGGAGAGGTCCCCAGTCTCTAGGCCCTGTCCCCCGGATGCCCGAAATCTCAGCTGCCCCTGACCGGGTTCTCCATCTTCACACTCTTGGCTGCTTCTCCGATCAGCTCCCAGAAACTCCCGAACTCCAGCTTGGTGTCGTTACAGCTGCCCAAGCTGGCGAGTTTCTCCTCCAGGCCACAGTTGCTCTGAGGAAGGAAGGCCTTAGCTCAGCCAGCAACCCTAGCCCCCTGCCTCCCAGCCATCCCGCCCCCGGTGGGAGGTGGGGACGGGGCACCCAGAGCTGGCCATGCGGGCATGCCCCCCCACCCCGTGCACTTTGGGGGAAGTCAGGGTGCTGGGGCGGGGTCCTCCAGTACCGGCATGAGGTGGGGCAGCTGCTGAGTGACCAGGTCCCGGAGCTCAGTGGAGGTCAGCGTCTGCTTCCCACCCTCCACCGAGTACTGGTGGAAGTTCTTGATGAGGGTCTCGATGGCCCTCTCCACGTCGCTAAATTCCTGGGCGTCCTGAGGCGGGAACCAACACCCATGTCAGGGAGGCGCCACCCCAACCGCCCCAATCCCCGCCCCAACCCTGCGTCTGTCCATCCGTCCTTCAGCTGCAGTTGGAAGGCACAAGGGCCCGCCCACTCCAAGCCTGCTCCTGGCACCCCTCACCCGCCTGGCCTCTGCCCAGAGCGGCAGGTTGAGCAAACCCCCCCCACCCCACCCCCAGTCCCCAGGCCGGGCAGGTTCCAGCACGAGGCCCAGCACCTCTTCCCACGAGGGCACGACTGGTGTGGGCAGGGGATGGGGGTGGGGTACAGTCCCTCCGAAGGACAGAGAGAAGGGGAGCACCCAGCGGGGGGAGATGAGGAAATCCGGGCAGGGGCAGGTGCCCACCTCTGCGTTGGCTGAGCGACACTGTCCCATGGCGAGTGGTCGTGGTGGGTGACGAGCGCTGACTGTCCCTTCTCTACTGACAGCTCATGATCTGTGTGGAGCAGGCCGGAGCTGAGTACAGGGCACTTCTTCACCCAGGGCCCCTCAGCTCACCCAGGCAATGCCCAGGCTCACCTCCCCTCCAGTGATCGCCTCTGTCACACACACACACACACACACACACACACACACACACACACTGACATACGCACGCGCCCACATTCACTCACAAACACACACACACATTCACTCACACACACACACACACTCACACACCCCAGGACCCAGTCCTGGCACACAAGGTGGACAGGCTCCGTGGGTCCTCTGCACAGGGCCAGGGTGGCCGGTGTGGGTGACAAGCCCACACTCTCCTTACCTGCTGGCAGCCGCAGAGTGGCCAGGATGGGAGGAGCCGGCGTACCTGAGCTGAGCTCTTATACCTGGGGGAAGGGCGGGGAGAGGGGCTGGGCCTCACCCCCAAACCATCCGGCTATTGCAGCCCTGGGCCAGAGCCAGCAGGGAAGCCCCACCCTCCACTGGCCGGAGCCCCATGCCCCAAGCCCGCCCCGGGGGACTGGTGCTGGGGACCTAAGCTGGGGTGCCACTAGAGTGTGGGGGTGGGCAGGGGCTCGGAATCAGTGGGCCAAGCCCAGAGGTGGGAGGGCCTGGAGGAATTTTAGGGCCCGGAAGTAGAAGGCCCAGAATTAGTCACCACAAAGGGGTGGGGAGAGTCTGCTCACAGCAGGATTCCTGGTTCTGAGGGAGTGAGGGAAGCCCAGGTGCCACAGAACTAAGATCACACACGCTCACACACACTCCTACCATGGCACTGTGAATCACTCATTCACACACATACATACCCTCGCGCAAAGAGTCACACACATACATGCTCTCTCATACACAAGAACATTCACACATATTTACACACATATTCACACGCATACGTACTCTCACACGCATTCACACATTTACACACACACACACATATTTACACACACACTCTCACGCACATTCTCCCCTGCCCGTGGTGAGAACAGAGCCAAGCGGGGCCTCAGCTCAGGATGAAACTAGTCAGAGGCAACCCCAACCCAGCCCAGTCCTGCCCCATGGAGGGAGGGTTCCAGGGTGGTCCTGGGAATCAGGGGTCCAGGACAGAGCCCTCACCAGGAGGGGCGGGCGAGGGTCAGTGCAAGTCAGGGAAGGAGGGGGCTGGGGACTGAAGCTCAGGGCACCCATCCCTTGGGGGGCTTTTATCAGCAACCACAGGTGGGGCCCCAACAGAGCCAGCTGGAGAGCCACTCACAAGGGTTCCAGCAAGCTTCCGGTCTGGGAGGCTCACTATCAGAGAGCCTCAGTGGGAAAGCACCTGAGAGAAGTCCCTCCTGGGGTCCCTCTGAGTCCCTATCAGGGAGCACTGCCCAGTGGGTGCTGGAGCACAACGGGGACCCAACCCAGCCGGTCTGGAGCAGCCTGGAGCTGCCCCGCCCCAGCGCCCTCTGCTGGCCGCCTTGTGGCCACGTGTCCTCAACGCTACCACCTACTTCTGCTTCTTGCTGCACCCTCCTCACCCCAGAAGTGGGCGCGATTCCTGCTTCACCCCTGCTTGAGAGGAGACTCATGGGAGAGGGGCCCAGGACTCATTTGAGAGCACCAAAGTTCACGGACGTTCTCGAACTTCAACCCAGACCCCTCTGTTCTCCTATGATTTCACCTCTCCTCTTCGCAGCTTTAATACAGACAGGAATTGGGGGAAGGGGAGGGGTGCACACCTGGCAACCAGCAGTGCTCAGGGATTACTCCTGGCTTTGAGCTCAAGAACCACTCCTGGCAGGGTTCAGGGAACCATATGGGGTGCTAGAGAACGATCGATCCCAGTTCAGCCGCATGCAAGGCAAGCCTACCGTACTCCAGCCCCTAATGCAGCATTTAGCAACATCATTTACCAGGTCCAGGAGAAAGAGAAAGGATACTTACTTGCCTTGCACAGGGCTGACTGGTTTGATCCCAGCACCACATAGGATCCATCCAAGTTCTGCCAGGAGTGACCCCTGAGCTCAAAGTCAGGAATAAGCTCTGAGCATCTCAGGTTGTGTCCCATATATATGTGTAGGCATGCCAAGGACTTGGAGCTAAAAATCTGCATGCTCCTGGTTCAATCCCAGCACCTCATGGTCCTCCAAACACAGCACCCATCTCTTCCAGATATGATCCTCCTCATTCCCAGAAAATATCCCCAACCAAGGCTGGAACAGTAGTTCAGTGGGGAGGGCACTTGCTCTGCACATGGTTTGATCCTTGGCATCCCATATGATGGTCCCCCGAGCCCCATCATGAGTGATTCCTAAGCGTCAGGTGTGGCCCCAAAACAAACAAAAAATAAGAAACACCTGTATTTCAGAGAGGACACTTTATTGAGGGGAAGTGGGGTTCCACCTGTCCCCACCCATCCCTGCCCTGCCAACCCGCATCCCTGCCTGTGGCTTTACTTCTTCCGGATCTCCAGGGCCTTCTCCTTCCGGATCTCCTTGGCCAACTCCCCAATCAGCCTCCAGTACTCATGGAATTTGAGCTCCGAGTCCTGGTTCACATCCAAGCTCCTCATCTTCTCCTCCAAAGAGCCCACATCCTGAGGAAATACAAAAAAGTAGGGCAACTGAGCTAGAAGGAGGTTAGAGAAGACTCGCCAGCCCCCCACCCACAGAGATCGCCGAGACCACACAATCCCACAGACCGTCTGATCAAAGAATGCTATAAACTGGACCTCCATCTCCAGAGGAGTTGACAGATAAGCAGTCACAACCCAAAATGTGACTTGGTGGGGTGGGGGAGTTGGGTCACATCCAGTGATGCTCAGGGCTTACGCCTGGCTCTGTGCTCAGGGTCATTCCCAGTGGTGCTCAGGGAGCATGTATGGTCATGATGAGCAAACTGGGGCTGGCCACATGCAAATCTCTGAACTATCCCAAAATTTGATTTGGTTTTAATTTTCTGGTCACACCCAGCAGTACTCAGAGCTCACTCCTGGTTCTGCACTCAGGGATCACTCCTGGTGGGGCTCTGGGGACCATATGGGATGCCAGGAATCGAACCCAAATGAGTCGCATGCAAGGCAAACACCCTACCCATTGTACTCTCTCCAACCCCAGAATTTAATTTTTGAATCACTTTAGTGATGGATGTCAAACTAAGTACCCCAGACAGAACGCCATACACAACATTTAACACAGAGTCTCACATATGCAAGGCATGAGCACTGCCTCTGAGCTCCATCCTGGGCCCTGAGCGAATATTTGGAAGAGGGAAGGGAAGACTTGCCAAATCTATAGGTGGTCCAAAGATTCATTAATAGAAGAGCTAAACATGACTTTTTTTTAAATTATGCTTAATTTATAAAATACTATAAACACTGCCAAATCAAGATGCCCAAGTGTGACATTATATTGGGACAGGGAAAACATACAATTAGTACAAAGAAAGAATAAAAGATATTAAGCAATAGGAAAGAAGGGGCAACTACACCTCTTATTACATTAGCAATTATGTAATTGTACACTTAGGGAAAAAAAACCAAGAGTGATAATGGCTGACACTTCAACAAGTGTAGGCACTTAATAGTGCTGACTGTTCAAGCATTATGCTAAAAGCAGAGCATGCTTCCCTTCATTTAATCTTTGGGATCCGCCAGAATTAAAAGCTCCAGGAGCACAGGGACTTTGTCTATCTGGGTTCCCCACTGAACTTAAAACCTCAAACATGGGGCAGGAGTGATAGCACGTAGGGCGTTTGCCTTGCACGCGGCCAACCCGGGTTCTATCCCCAGCATCCCATATGGTCCTCCAAGCACCGCCAGGAGTAATTCCTGAGTGCAGAGCCAGGAATAGCCCTTGAGCATCTCCAGGTGTAACCCAAAATGCAAAAAGAAAAAAAAAACACCTCAAACAAAAGCAGGACACCCCATGGTCAGGGCCAGTGAACCCCAACAGCATAAACACATGCAAAGTGTCTCCCGGTCCCTATGGAAGGGGTTTGTCTGAATCCATTTCAGAGCTAAGAAATGACAGTTCAGAAGGCAGTAAGCACAGCGCACAGGGCACTGGCCTTGCAGGCAGCCAACCCAGGTTCGATTCCTAGCAACCTCATATGATCCCCTGAGCACCACCAAGAGCGACTCCTCAGCTTAGAGCTGGAAATAACCCTGAGCACTGCCAAGAGGGGCCAGAACACAAACATAAATGAAACCAGGTTGTTGGGTTCAAAGTCTCAGATCTTGGAGAAAAGATAATACAGCGGGGAGGGGCACTTGCCTTGCATATAAGCGGCCCAGGTTTGATCCCTGGAACCTAATTTGGTCCTCCAAACACCCCCCCCCCAGGAGTGATCTCTGAGCACAAGTCAGGGAGCAATAGTAAACCCTGAGTACCACCAGGTATAGCCCAACACTAACCCCTACACACACACACACACACACACACACACACACACACAATGCTATGTGAAAGGAGGGAGTGTCGTAGCTTGATAGCATCTGTGCAGTCCAAAGGGGTGATGTTTCTGTCAATATCTCTTGTCCTTAGGAGAGTCATTGAAAACTGTATTACAGAGTTTGGGAGATGGCTCAAAGGACCCAGTGTGCACCCTTTGCATGCATGTAGCCCAGGTTTGAACCCAAGCACTGCATGGTCCCCGAGGCCATACCAGAAGTGAGCCCTAAGCACACCAGAAGCGGCCTCAAAGCACTACTAGGTATGACTTAATTTCCCTACCACCACCACAAACACACACACATACACACACACACACACACACATACATACATATACACACATAAACACAAAAAACTTTTATAATCTGGATACTGCATATGTGAGCAGCTCTTTGTAGACATAAAAAATGGAAATTTTTAAAGACCTGTAAGATGTTGTTGAAACCCCTGCTGCGTCCCATGATGAACACACAGACCAAGAGATAAAGAATCCAAACGACTCTAGCAACGCCCACGGTTCGTTGGCCTTAAGATGGAAAATGATATGAAGCTGAGTGATGTTGCTGGCTCAGGTTGGGTGAAATGCCTCAAGGAGAGAGTCTCAGTTCTTTGGAAAAGCAGACAGGAGCTATGTCACCTCGTATGCCAAAAGCTGAAACCATGCCACCTCCAGCAAAACCTAAAGACAAGATTATTTCTATTCCAGTATCAAAGACCCAGTGCTCACAGGGAAAGACAGAACAGAACCTGTGAAAAAACTTTTCACAGTCAAGACCTACAGGGACTGGAAGGACAGATGGTACAGAAGGGAAGGCACTTACTTGCCTTGCATGCAGCTGCCATAGCCAAGACCCCAGTTCAAATCCCAACACCACATGGAACAATGAGCACTGCCAGGGGTAACCCTGAGCACAGTGTCAGGAATAGCCTCTGATCAGAAACAGGGGTGCCCCCCACCCCCAAAAAATAACCCTGAATACACCTCACTTTGGGTATTGGGATGAGATTTACCTTCCTGAATAAATTAAGCTATGGAAACAGGCCAGAGAGATTGTGCAGGTCAGGCTCTTATCTTGCATGTATCTGACTCAGGTTCAATCCCTTTAACCCATATGGTCCCTGGAGCCCACCTGGTCCCTGAGGGCAGAATCAGGAGTAACTTCTGAGCATCACTAGGTGTAGTACGAAAACAGAACACATAAAAATTTATCTGTTGGGGACAGTGAGACAGAATGGCAGGAAAGGCATTTGCTCTACATGTAGCCAACCCTGTTTTGATCCCTCAGCACCCCATATGGTCCCCTGAGCACTGCCAGGAGTGATCCCTGAGTACAGACCCAGGAATAAATCTTGAGAACAGCAGGTATGACCCAAAAGATAAAAAAATAAACAAATAAAATATGTATGTAGAGCCTCGTGGTGTGAGCACATGTTCTTCGCTACAGTTTGTATTATAAATGATCTGTATTGTCCAAGTCCAGTTCTATGGCACAACAGTCATTCATCACTATCCTGCTCGATTTCTTACTGATAAAAAAAAGGCATAGCATGCAGGACATTTGCCTTGCAAGCAGCCAACCCAAGTGTGATCCCAAGCATCCCATATGGTCCCCTGAGGACTGCCAGGAGTGTTCCCTGAGCACAGAGCCAAGAGTAAGCCCTGAGCATTTCTGCATGTGACCCCCCAAAAAAAAAGAGAAAAAGAGAGTCCTATTATTTGTGGAACCAGCAGGTAGGGCGTTTGCCTTGCATGCAGCCAACATGGCTGATCCGAGTTCGATTCCTTTGCCCCTCTCGGAGAGCCGGGCAAGCTACTGAGAGTATCTTGCCCATACAGCAGAGCCTGGCAAGCTACCCGTGATGTATTCAATATGCCAAACACAGTAACAAGTCTCACGATGGAGATGTTACTGGGCCCGCTCGAGAAAATCAATGAACAACGGGAGGACCGTGACGTGACTCTTACTCTTACTCTGTTAGCAACATGTCTCTTGCTAACAGACACGTTTGCAACAATGGCACTGTAATGAAGGTCAAGTCTTGATGGATGTATTCCGAGAAAATTATTCAAGCTGACTGCAAAGGGTAGAGCTCAAGAGCCAGTTAAGAATTTACTGTTTGAGGGGCTAGAGCGATAGCACAGCAGGTAGGGCATTTGCCTTGCACACGACCGACCTGGGTTCGATTCCCAGAATCCCATATGGTCCCCCGAGCACTGCCAGGAGTAATTCCTGAGTGCATGAGCCAGGAGTAATCCCTGTGCATCGCTGGGTGTGACCCAAAAAGCACAAAAGAAAAAAGAAGAATTTACTGTTTGAGGGGCTGGAGCAATAGTACAGCAGGTAGGGTGTTTGCCTTGTACAAGGTCGACCCAGGTTTGATCCCAGGCATTCCAGACGATCCCCTGAGCAATACCAGGAGTAACTCCCAAGTTCAGAGCCAGGAGTAACCCCAAGTATCACCAGGTGTGACCCAAAAAGACAAAAAAAAAGGAATTTATTGTTTGAGCAGAAATCTCAGTGAAGCAGGGACTGACCTAACTAGCAGAGGGAACTTGGAGGCAGCCAAAACAGGCCTTGTGTCGGGCCAGAGAGAGAATACAGTTGGTAAGGCGCTTGCCTCACACACAGCTGACCCAAGTTTGATTCCCTACACCATGTATGGTTCCTTGATAGAAAACACAGAAGGAAGGTACACAGTTGAAGGGAGTTTAGGCTAGAATAATAGCACAGCGGGCAGGGCACTTGCCTTGCATACTTCTGACTGGAGTTAGATTCCTGGCATCCCATTTGGTCCCCTGAGTTCTGCCAGAAGTAGTCCCTAAGTGCAGAGCCAGGAGTAACCCCTGAGCATTTCCAGGTGTGGCCCAAAAACAAACAAACCAAAAAAAAAAAAAAACAAACTAAAGATGGGAGGTGATACAGAAACATCCAATAGAGAGAGGAAATCTGATGTCAGAGAGGGGAGTAACAGAGAAGCTTCTAAGTAGATAAGGACAGAGCCCAGAACACAAGGGGAAGGGAACAGCTGGGACCAGCCGCCTACAGGAAGGAAGGTTGGACACTGCTGACCAGAGGGCACATTGGGAAAGGCGGATGCTTAATATTTCCTGATTTTTGTTGTTGTTGTTGTTTTAAAGGCGGGCATACCTGACTGTGCTTGGGGCTTACTCCTGGCTCTGCTCAGAGATAACTCCTAGCAAGGCCCAGGGCACCATGTGGGGAGTCAGGGATCAAATGAGGGTTGGCCATGGTGCAAGGCAAGCGCTTTGCCCACTGTACTATCTCTACAGTCCCAGTCTGTCCTTTCTTTTCTTATTCCCTCAGTTGAGAATATTTGGTTTTGTTTCTGGGTCACACCCCACGGGGCTCAGGGCCTACTTCTGCTGCTGCACTCAGGGATTACTCCTGGCAGTGCCTAGGGGATCAAATGGGATGCCGGAGACCACACCCGGGCCAGTGGCATGCAAGGCCCTGCACCCTCCCCGCTTGCCCTATCAGTTGGGAATATTTCTCAGTCAGAAGGCAGGACTGGAGTTTACAGAGAAGCACAGAGTTATGAAATCATCATCTGAAAGAGCCAAGTAAAAAATCCACAGGGAAAATGCCTGATTACAACTGCTGAGTCTCCGTGGGTCTCCAGTTACAGATTTAAAGTGAGACAAGTCAGAATGGACTTGGTCCTTTTACACTGGCCAGATTTGGGTCCCCCAAAACAGGCAGAGTATAGTTTGCAGAGAAGACATGTAGAATTTTTTTTTTTTTTTTTTTTTTTTTGCTTTTTGGGTCACACCCGGCGATGCTCAGTGGTTACTCCTGGCTCATGCACTCAGGAATTGCTCCTGGTGGTGCTCAGGGGACCTTATGGGGTGCTGGGAATCGAATCTGTGTTGGCCATGTTGGCTGCGTGCAAGGCAAACGCCCTACCCGCTGTGCTATCGCTCCAGCCCCAAGACATGTAGGATTTAACCTCAGTTGGAATCTTGCCAAACACTAAGGACACAAAAGACAGAACCGAGGGAGCAGGACGAGAGAGAGAGAGAGAGAGAGAGAGAGAGAGAGAGAGAGAGAGAGAACAAGAGAAGAGTGGGTAGGGCATTTGCCTTGCACACAGTTGACCCAGGTTCAATCCCCACATCCCAGATGGTCCCATGAGTACCACCAGGAGTAATTCCTAAGTGCAGAGACAGGAGTAACCCCTTAAGCATCACCAGGTGTTCGGGCGGGGGTGATGGGGGTAGAATCAAGGGAGCTAAATAGTGATTTGGTGACGACAATGATGAGCCTCGAACCCCAAGGATGGAAAAAAGGACAAAGAGGAAATACAAGAGGAGGACTGGAAGATGGGAGAGTGGCTGGGTGGAGCTGGTGGAGGACACGTAGAGTGAGGGAGCAGGAGAAACGAAGATCTGAATGAAAGGCAGACTTTAAAGGTACTGCGGTTTCTGGTGACGCCAAGGTCCGGCTTAAGCAGGATGCAGAGAGGCAGGAGGGCAGACCCTTTGAAATAGAAAGGCCAGAGGGGATGAATTTTCAGTGTGGACTCTGAGGATCACAATGGAAGCAGCTAGGGAGTGATGGTACCGCTGGGAGGGCATTTGCCTTGCACGCAGCCAATCCCGGGTTTGATCCCAGTATCCCTTATGGTCTCCCGAGCACTGCGAGGAGTAACTCCTGAGTGCAGAGCCAGAAGTAACCCCTGAACATTGCTGGGTGTAACCCCAAAAGCCAAAAAATAAAGAACAATGAACAGAGTCGGGCAGGCGGGGACTGAAGAGCTCCCAGGAAAGCAGTAAGAAGGGTCAGATGGTGTGTGCACTTTAGGGGAGCAGGGATCGGGGAGGAAGAGAAAGAACTACAGGATGGAGACGCCAAACAGGCGTGCTTTGCACTGGCAGTTCCTGGAAACCGGATTTGGAAGAAAAGTCGCTACAGGGAAAGGTTGAAGGTTCCTTGAGAAAAGAACGGAAAAACTCGAGAGTCTGAAGATGTGGGGGGGAAATCCAAGGCATTTTGGGATGTGGGGGATTTTGCAGAGAACAGACTAAATTCAGCTTGTGGGACAATTAGAGGGGAGGGTGCTTGCCTTGCATGACCTACATTTGTTTTTGGTTTTGGTTTCTGAGCCACACCCAGCTGTGCTCAAGGCTGTACCATCTCTCTGGCCTGAGATTCGGGTTTGATTCTCTGCACTACATAGCATCATGCCCGGGGGCCCACCAGGAGTGAGTTGAGCACTCCAAGAGCCAAGGGTAATCCCTGAGCACAGCCTGGTGTAGCCCAAAATTTGGAAGAAGAAAAAAAATAGACTAAGCTGGGACTCAAGCAATAGTACAGCAGGTGGGGTGTTTGCCTTGCATGTGGCCAACCTAGGCTCAACACCCAGCATCCCATATTGTCCCTTGCGCATGCACAGGAGTGAGTACTGAGTGCAGAGCAGAAGTAACCACTGAGCATTGCTGGGTGTAGCCCACACACACACACACACACACACACACACACACACACACACACACACAAAGTTACCCCTGGCAATACTCCGGGGATCAAATGTGGTGCCAGGGTTCCTCAGCAGCATGAGGGCCTTAACCCTTGAACTATCTCTCTGGTCCAGTTCACATTTTTTTATCTTTATTTATTTATTTTGGGGGCCACACCAAACAACAACAACCAAAAGAATGCTACCCCAGGGACTGGAGCAATAGCACAGCGGGTAGGGTGTTTGCCTTGCACGTGGCCCACCTGAGTTCTATTCCCAGCATCCCATATAGTCCCCTGAGCACCGCCAGGAGTAATTCCTGAGTGCAAACCCAGGAATAACCCCTGTGCATTGCTAGGTGTTACTCAAAAAGAAAAAAAAATGTATAAAAAAATGCTACCCCAGAATGCAGAATGAATGAAATTGAACTTGTGACCCCAGCCCGGGGGCTTCTTAGAGGGGTGGGAAGCAATCACTGGTCACAGCCCCCCGGACACTGCAGCCCTAACGAACCATGATTTCACTAGTTGTACACGACAAACTCCTTCACATGGCTGGGCCTCAGTTTCCACGGATATGAAGTGAGGAGCCTGGACAGCTTTTTTTTTGTTGTTCTTATTTTTGTTTTTTGCTCTGTGAACGATTTTTCTAGTTCTGACGATTTATGAATGTCCTGGAAGTCACTCTGGGTTCAGATCCAAACTGAAAAATTGCGGCCAGAGACGTACAGCACAAATACAAGAACCCAATAGCGCATGTGACAGAAGCACAAAGCCCACATGTTGTGTGTCTCCCAGGTTACAACACCCAACACAGACACAAGAACACCCAACACCCACAGGATACCCCAAGAACACCCAACACAGTTAGCAAGAATACTCAATGCATTCAGCAAGAGCTCTCAAATACACAAACCAAGAAAATCCAACACACACCCCAAGAACACCCAACATATACCAAGAACACCCAACACCCCCAACAACATCCCAAAACTCCCACCTGCACTGGCCCACACCCTTCCAGGGAGCCCGGGGCACAGACCCAGCCCACCTTGAGCAGGTGTGGCAACTGCTGAGTGACAAGCTCCTTAAACTCGTTGATGCTGAGGCTGCCCTTGCGGCCCTCCCGCCCAGCAAAGGTGAAGAAGGTGGTGACCACTGTTTCGATGGCGGCCTCCAGCTCTGTCAGTGGCTCCGCTGCCATTGGGACCTGCTGGAGGGGCTTCCTCGCAGGGTGCTCCTACGGAGGACAGGAGAGGGAGACAGCAGAGTTGGGACAGCCCGCAGCCCCTGCCCTGGCCTGGTAGCCCCGGGCCTGGAGGATGGTGACAGGGGTGGAGAATAGGGCAACAGGACGCAAAAGCCTATGTGGGTGGGACTGCTGAGCCCCAGGAACCCCTTGCTCTGTAGTGCTCAAAACCCAGGGTCCTTCCTACGTGCACAGGTCTTTGGGGTCCCCCTGTTTGCCAGGAGGCTCGGTGGGGGCCTCTTGTGAGGTGTCCAGACCCTCCCTGCTTCCGAGGGTCTGAAGGCTGCTAGTCGCTGATCTCCAGCTCTTGTTCGTCCCGGGGGAGGGAGTATGGGGGGAGGGGGAGGATGGTCCCCCACAACGCTCCTGACTTACATCCCCCCGGGGAAAGCAGGGCTGAGCGCTGACACTCCCTCCGGACCCCACACTTCCTCCCGCGTCCCAAACTCCAGTCCAGAGTCCAGGATGGGGGCCAGCCCATCGCCTCTGGGACGGGGGGGGGTCATCGGCCCCTCCCGCCCCCCAGGCCTGCAGCTGGACCTCCACGGACACCCCGATTCCTGGGCAGGGCGGGGCCGCGGGGGCTCCCGGGCCGCACCCCAGCCCAGGAACCCGCCGTCGCAGGGCCCGGGGACACGACTCACCGGGACGAGGCGACGGGTCGCGGCGGCGGGCGCCGCGGGGCCGCAGTTTATAAGGCCGGGCCGGCCCGGGAAGCCCCTCCCCGGCGCGGTGTCGCGTTTCCGCGGCGGCTCCGAGGGGCCCGCCCCGCCAGCCGCGCCCCGACCCCGCAGCCCCGCCACCGCGCCCCGACCCCGCAGCCCCGCCACCGCGCCCCGACCCGGCCCGGATCCCCACATCCCACCCCCGGCCCCGCCCAGCCCGACCCCCGGCCCGCGCGCGCCCCCTCTCGGCGGGGAGCGGGGATAACCGCTCTGCTCGCCTGCGCCCCCAGCCCCGCACCCTTAATGCCACCCGGGGAATTTCTGCTGAGCGACTCTGAACTCTGGGTTTGATGCCCTCAGCACCCCGCTGGGGCACCCAGTCCGGAGCGGCCCCGGAGCACTGCCCGGTGTGACCCCCCCGCCTCTCAAACCAACCCAAACTAAAGAAAACGAATCTACTGGACCAAGAACTACTTGGGAAACCCAGGGCTGAGAACCCTCACATGGAGCAGGGGGAGTACAGAATACCCCCAACTCCCAAGATAGCTCAAAGACTGGTGCGCAGGTCCGGCATGCGGGGCTCACTGAGTGCAACCCTGGCATCTCAGGGTCCCCCAGCACAACCCCCCAAGAAACACCAGCAACAAAAGCAGACTGACCCACATACACAAAGGGGGGTGCGCGCCGAGTTTCTTAAAGGAGATCCCTTACTGCTGTCATCAGAACCACCACCCCGGACCCTTCAGGACCAAATCAGTTCGTGGGGACAGGACAGCAGGTAGGGCACTTCCTTCCACATAGTCAACTCGGGTTTGATCCCCTGAGTCCTGCCAGGAGTGACCCCCTGAGTGCAGAGACAGGAGTAAACCCTGAGCATCACAGGTATAGCCCCTTAAACAAACAAATAAAACATCCTTGGTTGGGGCTAGAGCGCTAGTACAGCTGGTAGGGTGCTTGCCTTGCATGCAGCTAACCTGGGTTCAATCCCCAGCACCTCCAGGAATATGGTCCCCTGAGCACCTCCTGGAGTATCCCTGAGCACAGAGCCAGGAGAAAGCCCCAAGCACTGCAAGGTGTGGCCCCAAAACCAAAATAAAATAGATGTTTCTCCCGGAAGTGTGCATACTTAGCCCTGGAGTGACCTGCCCCCCTCCACCTGTTTACCCCCCTCCGCTCTGCCCCCCCCCCCATACACACAGCCCTCCAAACAGAGCAGATCTGGCCCTGCAGAGGAGGTGAATTCTCAGGACTCTCTCCTTTGCTCCAGGAGCTGACTCAAAGTGGGGGTGGCTCTCCCTGCACAGAGGACACAGCGCTGCTTGTTCCAGCCCAGGGGACAGAGGGCGCCTCTGTCCCCTGCTGGCTCTCTGCCCAGCTGGGTGTCTGCATGTGAATGGGGTGGAGTCAGGGGAGGTGGGGTTGTGCAGAAAGGACACTAAAGACAGGGCTCCCCGCACAGCTGCCAGCCACATTTGCAGCCAGTCCGTCTGTCTGTCCAGTACCTGCTCGCGCCTCTGTTGGTGAGTGTCCCGCCTGCCCTGGCCAGCCCTGGAAAAGGGAAGTCCAGAGAGTGGACAGTGGTACCGTCCTTGGCACCACTGAGTGTCCAGGAGGGGTCTGGGGGTTGGCTTTTAGGATTTGGGGGAGAACAGGAACAGAAGGGGGTGCGGCAGGTGCGGGAAGATCAGAAGGAAGCAGTGAGGAATCCAGCCCCAAGATTCCAGAAGACCAGGCATCCCCCCAGAGACCCACAGGGGCCTCCCTGCATTGCCCTGGACATGAAGCCTGGCCAGTGGGAAATGAAACAGAACAGCTGCCTCTGCCCCCATCCCCTAGCCTGTCTCCCCATCCTCCTGCTGGCCCCTGGGGGGTGCAGAACCCAGGCCAGGGCAGAGGATATGAAGAATGGGCAGTTGAGTGTCCGGCCCGCTCCCACCCCCCAACTCCCTTCCGTGTGGCTGTCATCTCTACCTCCTCCTTTGCCCAGCCCCCTCCTGCCCTGGTTCAGTTCCTGACTGCAGTCCACAGCCCCCGGCCCAGATCCAGCCCCAGTACCCTGTTGGTGGGGCTCCTGGTAACTTGCCAATGGCTGAGCTCACCTCCCCCGGGGCCCCTTATCCCTCCTCCATCAACCCAGCTCGAGTTCCAGTTCCCCTGTCTCTGTGACAGCCACGTCCCCTGTCCCAGTTCAGGTGACACTGACAAGGGCCCCATTGAGGAGTGGGATGATATCCGATCAGGGCCAATTGTCTGGTCCCTCAGACTGGGGAAAGATGGGGACACCTGAGCTGAGATACCTGACCGCCCCCCCCCCAACTTCTCACCTTCCTCTCCCAGTACCTGAAGGCAGAGGCGCCCATGCACTCGGTCCTTGTCTCCCCCATCACCCACTCTGAACCCCCCCGCCCCACCTTCCCTGAGCTGTGCCAGGAACACAGTGTTGGGGACTGTCCCCTCCCTGGGTGCCGGACATTCCTCCCTCCGTCCCTGCCACCCCCGATGCTGAGAAGGGCTGATTCTGCAGAGCTGGGAGAGCAGACAAACAAGAGTGAGGGAGGCCCCAGAGAAGTCCAGGGCAGAACAAAGCTGAGGGGCCCAAAGCTCCCCCAACCAGCTGCGCTGCCACCCCAAGAAAGACCACCTGCTGGGCTGCTGGGGCAGAGACCGTCCCCTTGCTAAAGGTGGGCACAGGATCAGGGCAACCAAGAAGAACCCGGCTCACACCAACAGCAGGCAAAGGCTGGGGTAAAAATAGAGCCTGAAAGAGCCTGGCCGGTCCTGTGACCTGCAGCCTGCCCCACCCTCCTCATTGTCCCCCACCAGTCTGTGGCAGCAGCTCCACCTCCAGGCCTGGGCCCTGCCATCCTCTGGCAGGGGCCTGGATGGAGACACATCCCAGACAGGGTCTGGACTCAGGTCTATTTGGGTGCCCGTCCCAGGTAAAGGCTCGGGAAAGGACAGACGGCCCTCAGGTTCCAAGCCGCAGCCTGGTGGGTGGCAGGGCTAGTGCTCAGGCTGGCGACCAGCTCACTGTCTGGTGGTGGTGTACAGGTGACGCACAATGAGCTCTGATCTGGAGACAGCCATGGAGACCCTCATCAGCGTGTTCCACACACACTCCGGCAAGGAGGGGGACAAGTACAAGCTGAGCAAGAAGGAGCTGAAGGAATTGCTGCAGACCGAGTTCTCAGGCTTCCTGGAAGTGAGCATGGCCTGCGGGGGGTGGGGGGGGGGGGGTGCGGAGGGGTGCGGGAGGGCCCAACTCCCAGCCTCCTGGCTATTTCCTGGCTCCCTTCTCCTTTGCCCTGATGGCCTGCCCTGCCAAGAGCAAGGCCCAAACACGAAGGAAAAATCCGCGACTGGCAGGTAAAAAGAGCACAGCAGGCCCTAACAGAGGTGACCAGAGAACAGAGGGGTGCCTGCTTCTCCAAGGAGACAGTTAAGTCACATCTCCCCTCCCATCAGGGTCCAAGGAGACTCTTGTAAAAAAATTCACTTAATCACACTGAAGACATCTTTAGGCGGGAAGCAAGGAGATTTAATTAATGTTAAGACAGACCGAAACTAGGCAATTGCCTGAAACTGAGGCCCAGAGCAGGGGTACAGAGAAATTTTTACAAGAGTTTTTATGGGGACTGGAGCGATAGCACAGTGGGTAAGGGGTTTGCCTTGCACGCGGCCAACCCAAGTTCAATTCCCAGCATCCCATGTGGTCCCCTGAGCACTGCCAGGAGTAATTCCTGAGTGCAGAGCCAGGAGTGACCCCTGAGCATCGCCAGGTGTCACCCAAAAAAGCAAAAAAAAAAAAAGTTTTTATAAGAGTTTTTCCCACTTCCTCCTCCACCTTGGTAACAGGTGGGTTTGGGTCCTTCCGCATTGTTCTGTTCTGCTTCATGATTTATCTTTCTGGTGGGTACATTGTTTCAGGTCCCATAGAGACAATTATCAATTTACTGTTTGTTTCATTGGTCCCATTTCCTTCACCACCTTGGTAACAGGTGCGTTTGGGTCCTTCTGTACTGTTCTGTGAATTGTTCGCTTCTGTTTCATGATTTATGACCTATTCGTCCCAGAACAGGCCACTGAGAGTTTCCTGGTGGTTAGCTTCCTGCTCATGTTTCTACCTTTCCCATCACTATAATCATGATTTAAGACAACAAATGAAGGCATTTTTTTGTTGTGTTTTTTTTTTTTTTGCTTTTTGGGTAACACCCAGTAACACTCAGGGGTTACTCCTGGCTCTGCACTCAGGAATTACTCCTGGTGGTGCTTGGGGGACCATGTGGGATGCCGGGATCAAGCCCGGGTCAGCCGTGTGCAAGGCAAACGCCCTAACCACTGTACTATTGCTCCGGCCCAAGAAAACATTTCTTAATTCAAAGCATAAGGGAAAGCAGAGCAAATCTGCAATTTAGCCCTTAGCTATCAAAGACAACTTAAGGTTGATACATCCTGGAACAGAAGCATGGCAGCAAGAACATGATGCATGCATGCAAGGTTTGGGGGAGTTCTTGTGCTGTTTTGTAGGCCACATCCAGCAGTGCTGGGTGGGGCAGGGGTGGGCACAGCGCATCCTGAGCCTCAGGATCAAACCTGAACCTCCTGTATACAAAGCAGCCCGGGGAGCCATTTCTCCGGTTGCCCATACACCAGGTTTTGTTTTTCTGTGGAAACACCCAGCACTGCTCGGGGTACTCCTGGCTCAGTGCTCACTCACTAAAGTGTTTGGAGGACTATGGGTACTGGGACTAGAATCCAGGGCTTCCCGTGTGCCAGAGAAGTGCTGTACTTCTGAGAGTCATATCCCCAAAGGAGAGGCCAGCACAGAGTGTAAAAGCTTTGAGGTTTCCTTGGACTTAGGTTGAAACTCTGACCCTATAACATTCGACCATCTATGACTTTGTATGCATATCTAACCACTAAATTTCTATTTCTTCTCCAAAATAAAAATGACTAAACCTGGGGTTGGAGTGATAGGATAATGGGTAGAGCACTGGCCTTGCACGCAGCCGACCCAGGCTCAATCCCTGGCATCCCATATGGTCCCCTGAGCCCACCAGGAGTAATTCCTGAGTACAGAGTCAGGAGTAACCTCTGAGTGCCGCCAAGTGTGGTCCTCCT